ACTAACTTTAAAGTCGACTTTATTTTGACTATGACTACGGGCCAATGACTTTATGAGGGGTGTAGAGGGGTAAGTGTGACGAGTAATTTGTTGTTAAAGTTGAAAATTTCACCTAACAAAATGTACGATAACAAACCATTTCAAACACATACAAGTGTGCGGAACACACACATTTCAGCTAAATGAAGCTCTTTGAACGTTCATCTATTTTATATTTATAAATTTTATTCTTTAACGATGAGGAACACGTTTATAAATTTGTTTATTTTCCATTAGAAGACCGAAATAGTATGTATGTATGTATGTATCAGAGCTGTGAAATGATTGAATCAGCATAGTCTGCATTCACTCCGGCATTCCTTTCAAAATGTTGATTGTTGGTTTGTATAAATAAAAACCTCATTCCTGAGTGGCTTAAAATATTTGAAAACAAACAAACTGTGTTTTGTTATTGAATGGTAGATTGCCATTCAGTAGAGAATGTGAATGTACAGCAGCATTCGCAATCACAGATGATTGTATATTTAGAATGAATGCACACTTTTTTACCATTCAGTACCAATAATTTGTTCCCAGGGTTGATATATTTTATACTTTAAAGTTTAAACATATCTGAAATTGAAACAAAAACAAATAATTTATTTCAACGTGTGTGTACTTATGTATAGAAGTTTTCTGTCACTAACCAAAAGCCAATGACTCGTGCAATATTATTCCAAACCAACTTATCGCAACCGTAGAGCAAAAAGGACACATCTTGATATGTATATACAGCATCGATTGTAGACATTTTTTCGCAGAAGAATATACAAAATTGATTTAAATATTTTCTTATAGTGAAAAATATTTTCAAGTCATATAAAATAAAATAACGAGAAAAACAAAATTCCAATCAAGCGTGAAGCGTAAGCGATTATGTGACCGGATGCAGTTCCTACATAAGTCAAACCGTGTTCCGAACACAAGTTTGAGTGGGCTGGGCATGGATCACGTAACTTTGAAACGATAGTCGTTCAAACGATACTACAAAAACGATGTCGTCAAAACACTGATTCATGTATAAAATAAATATCGCATCGTCTTTCTTGTCGACTATCGTATTTCATCAACAGGTTTGCCTATTTAACCTTTTTTAATATTAATTATCTTTTATTGGTCCCCGAAAAAAATTAAAAGTGGTCAAATAAACTATTGGCTACTATCCTTCCAAGTCTTCTAAGAAGAAACAGAGTTTGCCGATTGAAAAAAAAATTATTTTCACCGATTCTATATCATTTCACTAAAACCACTTGTTTCCCATATAAAATACATGGGCGTCTTTCAGCGCTCTGAGCGACCTCTAAATATTTTTTCAAAACAAAAAATATGGGTATATTTTTTCGGTATAGAACAATCCTAGGGGTGAGAGCATCGAAATTCTGATTTTACTTGGTTTGGACCACACTAATATACATATGTATTTAGAGAATTTTTATGATTTTCTGCATTAAAAAGAAAATTTTTGAAAATAGCGCTTACGTTTTTTTTTTGCGGTTGCTCACCTATTATACTTATACCGACGGCTGAATGGAAGACCGAACTATCTCGGCAACCGGTTCTAAACGACCTTTAATGAATTTTCCTTGGTTTTGCACAAAGTTAAGAGATTTTATTTTTATGTTTTTTAGTGTAAAGTGAACTATATTTTTATAAAAAAATATCGAAAATAAATTAGAATAAAAAACTTTGCATATGTTGAGAAAAATTCACTGTGCCAACACTTCTGCTCGGCACTGTATATACAGTGACTCAAAGAAATGGCCACGTGTTGATTTTTTTAAAGTTTTTCGAGTTAATTTTTTTTTGTTATTTTTCTATGAAAATACCAGGGACGTGAACCGGATGAAAAATTTTGTCGGTTCGGTTCAGCGGTTCGAACCGTTTTTGCACTTTTGGATTGGTTCGTCAAAGCGGTTTTTTTGGTCTTTGAACCGGGGTTTCGGTTCGGTTCAACGGTTCGAAAAACAAACAAGCAATAAATTTTAAGTTCGGGCGGAGCCGAACATTAAATACCCTGGGCAAGTATTAAATATATGATTTTCACCTTTCCGAAAGCCACCGCAACATGGTAAGCCGGGGTGTATCAATTTTGAGTAATTTAGCGTCCTTAAATTTCGAAATACATATTGAAGTTTCAAGCATTTCTGAAATTTACCGTTATATGAAAAGCGGCCTCAATTTTAGTCTGATTTCAATACTTTTCAACGTTTTGCTTTTACTTGGCAAGCATAATAGCCATACCGAGTTTCGTATAAATTGGTAGACCAGTTACCGAGATACATATATGTAATCATAAGTGGGCGGTGCCACGCCCGTTTCCCAAAATTGTATCATAAACGTATTTCTTCTGTCTTTCTGTCACATGGTAGGTATTACCATGTTTAACAAAAAGAAAAAAGTGGGTACATTTATCTATTAAAACTTGGTTGAAACGAACCTTTAAACCTTTATGGAAAGTGGTTCGGTTTTCAGTTCGGATCAAACATTTGTGGAAAATTTCGGTTCGGTTAATGGTTCAGTTAATTAATAGAAAAAAGCGGTTTTCCGGTTCAAAACCGGTTCGGTTCAAAACCGGTTCACGTCCCTGGAAAATACCATCCAAGCTTCAACCAAAACCATATTAATCACAGATTTAAACTTTATACAATATTTAGAAAAATTCAACAAATTACAACTTTTTGATGTGAATCTTTAGAACATTTTTGGGTATGCAGTTTTATAGCCCATACAATTTTATTCTAATGAAGTGCAAGTTTCAACCGGCTAAAAAATCGCGTTAAAATTTGTATGAAAATTGTTTGAATTTTCTTAAATTTTCTCTATCGAAAAAAGGATGCCCCTATTTTTTATTTTGAAATAAAAAACATTTAGAGGTCGAGAGGTAGAGGTTTATATGGGGAAAAAAACATCTTTTCGTAGAAATGGTAAAGAATTCTTGAAAATCAATATTTTTCTATCGGAAAACACTGGCTATCTGCAGGAGATTTTCAATAATAATACCCAATTGTTTATTTAACCATTTTTTAATACTAACGATTTTTTATTGGTCCACCAATTTAATTTTTCGGGGTTTGTGTGGGTTTTTGGCGGACCTATAAGTTATAGTTGCGATGAAAAAATGGTTAAATAAACAATTGATTATTATTTTTGAGAATCCCCTGCAGAGAAACAGTGAGAGAGAGAGAGAGAAAAATATTGAGTTTTAAGAATTCTTATAATTCCTACCAAAAGTTGTTTTTCCCCATACAAAATACATGAAAAACTTTGGGCGCTTTGAGCGACCTCTAAATATTTTTTGATTTTTAAATAAAAAATAGGGGTATATCGTTTTGGTATAGAACAATCCTAAAATAGCATAATTTTGTTTAATTTCTAATTGGCTAAACTGTAGCCAATAAATTTTTTATATTATCCCTTATTTTCTCGGCTATTTGCTTGTTGCTGTTACGGGAATTTTCAGATGTACCAGTGGCAGGTTCAAAAACTTCGTCGTTCAAAGGATTCGCTTCAACGTTAAGGTGTTGGACATTATATTGAATGCATATGTTGTGTAATGCAGCGCATGCATTCGCAAAAATGGCAATTTTTTTGAATCGTATTTACTTTTTCGTTCTTCCATTAAAATTCTCCATCGACCTTAGAAGTGAAAAATTTATTTTAATTTTTTCTCACGTAAAACCTTTGTAAACTCCAATACATATTTCAACAATGTTTCTTGCCTTTGCGTGAATTTCATTAAACTTGGTCCTACTAATGTCAGTAGTTCTGTACGGTGTTAACAATCACGGTTCAAGACGACACGCACTATCTCCTAAAAAGAAATAACAAATACATTGATTAGTGGACAAGTCTTTATATATTGCTTTCAAACAAACACTGTATCTTAAAAAATCGTCATACGCTAAAACTCTATAAAGCAAAATTGTATTGTATCATTGCAAATATGGACATATGTATTAGTTATTCATATATCGACTTCATCATGTGTTAAATCAATTGTTGCAATATTGTTAAAGTATGTACATATGTATATACATATATGCACATTTACTACACTAACAAAGAAGCCAATAACCGTGTTCCCGTCCGTTAAAAATATTTTCGAAATACGCGCGTTCATTGGAATGTTTCCACACCAATGAGTCAAGTGCTGATCCTCAATACTTAGCGTTAATCGCCATAATATTCATTTTATGATCGCAAATCTGAAAAGTACTTATTCAAATAATATATAACGCATTTAAAGTAATAAATTTACACTTACGATGATTGCATGTAGGCTGTGTCTTCCTTTTCGGTTGAAGTAAATCTCTTCATTTTGCTTGGGCCTTTTGAAAAAAAGGTGCGTACCATCAACACAGACGATAACTGAAAACAATATTTTTTTTTATTAAAAAAATGCGTTAAATTTATGTGAATCACCTCCTGGTATTGCATACTTCCGGTAAAACCACTGCTTTGTTGTTGCCGCGTCACACACAGTGGCCGTGTAGTGTATTTAATGGCTATAAATCAAGGAGGTTGCGGAGCTTCATGAAATTTTGCACAAATTTATTTTAAATTTTTTAAGTATTTTAATTTTTTTTTAACAAAAATACGCCCACTTTTACGCCCACCTCCCATACAACTTAAATAGAAAATGTGGCATAACTTCCATGATTTTAAATATATCAACTCAATTTTCATAACACATTAATATTATAATTGTAGAATGTTATCCTGAAAATATGAACTTAATCCGCCCATTTTTACGCCCACCTCCCATACAAATGATATTTCAAAAATGCCATATCTTCTGTAAATTTGTAACTAGAATGTTTATTTTTCGCAAAAATGCATATAACATCTATTAAATGCTGTTTTGCAAATATGAAGAAAATCCGCCCACTGTAACACCCACCCCCCATACAACTCCAATACAAAAATTTTTACAGTTTCACTCTATTTCATTTATTAACAACTTTTTCACATCTTCGTGATAATCTAATTTTTTAAGCTTCAATTTCGTTCTAAATGAATTGATGTATGGGTCGGAGGATATCAACAAATGATGCATTACGTCTTCGTTAGTAGAAGAGCGCCCAGTCTTGCGCGAGTGATATAGCCTATAACGTCTATAATCTTTGTTCCTCGCTTCCTGCGCTTCTTCTGATAACATTCCTTTGAAAAATAAACCATATGTTAATTTAAAATGTATGAAACAAATTGTATATTTAACCTACCTATAGGTAGAATGGCCTCAGATACAATTTTGCTACCATGTATCAAAACTTTATGCACTGTGATGGGCANTCAATCAAAATCAAATCCATACAAATCAATGTACAATTTTGCCGTGTCTATACAATATATTTGGAATTTCTCAGCGTCTATTGCCTGACTGCAAGTTATTGTGGATAATATAATTTTGAACCGATGAATCAGTTGCTCATTTACTCCTGTTATGTCAGCTGTAATTTGAGGGTTTTCAAAAAATCGTCGAGCTGTATTCCCATTGTTGCTGGAACCCATTCCTTGTTTAACCACATCAACATTTATTCCCAATACAAATTTAAGTCTTTTTTGAATTGTGGCCTGCTTTCATTTGTTTTCTTCTATATGAAAATTACCAAAAAGTTGTTGTAAAAATCGCCTCTGTTTTACAACAACACGCCCTGCGGCCACTGTATTAATACACTATGGTACCGATATTGCTTTGATATAAATTATTATTATATTAGAGTAACGAAGTGCAGAGGGCAATGACTTATTGTGTGTTAGCATCATTTAGAGACTTTAAAACAAACGTTTTGTTGTTATTATAACCGTACACATTATTTTACATTTAATGTTGTTTATAATATGTAGCAAATAAACGAGTAGCAAAGAAAGAAAGAATGCGCACTTGTTTTTGCACGCGTAAAATAACGCATAACGCATATTTTTTACTGTAATTCTTTGGGCTTTCATTGTTTTTTCGGCGGCAGGCAAATTGGGGCAGGTTTTTTTTTTTTAGTCTGTTAGCTGAGACTCTCAGCTTTAATTTGGTATAGGACTCCATGTGTCGCACTGCTTCGCACACAACTAAAAGTCTAACGGAAAATCATAAATGTTTATTTTTTTGGCTCAAAATATATTGTCAAAGGAAATTTTTTTTTTCAAATTTTTCAATTTTTTTTTTTAATTTACATAATGCTTAATGTCTATTTTAAGTGAAAAAATACTTATAAGGTACATTCGGTGTATAGTTTATAAGTATCAAGCTTTTGAATATGACATAGAAAACTATCACATTTGAGACTTGTTCACATACTTCAACTTTGAGGTGCTCGTGACAGAAAACCAATGGAGATATTTGCATGAAATTTTCCACACATGACCTTTAGATACTTTTTAACCATCTGTGCAAAAATAATCAAAATCGGAGAGCAGGTCCAAATTGATTTATTGCCGCAGTGGACACAGTGTGCGTCACTTGGATTATGTACACTCCATTGAATCCATAGAGGACACAGAACGGCTTCCAGCTTCCTAATAGTTGATGTGACTATTCCCGAGAGTGTACTTTGGGCTACAGAAACGCGGGAGTCATTTCCGGTCAGCCATTGATAGCCACCTCCGCCAAGGACTTCCAATGTTGCACACAGTTTTCAGATTTTAGGAATATAGGTTGAACGACTTCCCTTATTGTCAGCTGTCATTCGAAGCACATAACAAAAGGCTTCGCGAGACAGACGAAATCGTTTAACGAAGCTTGAAAGAAATACATAAGAAATATAAACAAAATTAATAAATTAATTATTAATTGAAGAATATTTTTATGTATTTATGTACCTTTTCTCTGGAAGCGACAAAGGATTGGAGCTATCCCGCAAAGTTCGACGTCGCCGAATCTCGGCCAAATGCTCTCTTTCGCTTTCGACTATTAATTGACATTTTTTTGAAACGATATTAAATTCTCTATCGTGCAGCAAATTTAAAATACATGGAACTTCAAACTTTTACGTGAAGACAAATTTGAATCGAGTTGACGATATCGGACAGAAGATCAAGTGTTTTTCCGCTTTTATGAACCAAGACAATCGTCAACACGATAACGTCGCATGATTATCGACATCCGTGATGCATGCCCTGACTTTGTAAAATGGTCCCATCAATTAGGCGGTAAAACAAGTATGTATTACTTAGCTTAAGGTAGAACTCTCTAATTTTCAAATTTCACATAATGCATGAATTAATGCAAGTAAAGATGGTTTATGCAGATAAGCGAGCGCGTTTGTTAACCGTATAAAATGTATATACATATATACACGTATGCACACATATATATCAAAATATATATGAATGAATGACGAGATGAATTGGTTCAGCCCTCTCTGTTTGTAAAAACGCTAACTCGAAAAAAATTTAGATATTTTAACGAAAGTCGGTGTCGGAGTCGCCTTTGGTATAATTTAGGTTAGTGTTAAATTTTGTCGAAATCTGCCAATAACCACGCCCACCTCCTACGTAGTAATTAACAATATTTTTGTTCTATTATAACTTTTTTTACGAATTTTGCTGTTCAAATTTACATTTCAAATATATCAACAAACATTTATGCGTACTTTTGCACCAATGGGTTAATGACAAAAAATCTAATAAATTCACAATATTTCATGTATTAGTTTTTAAAAAAGCATATTGTCAATGGCTGGTTTACTGTATACTGTGATTTTTTCAGTTACATTGAGCAGTTTTTTTAATTAACTATTAATTTAAATGTTTCCTAAACATATTTACAACGCAATTCTGCAAGAGAGTACCATAACTTTTTTCACAGAACGTATATTCGGAACAACCAAAATTAATCGATGTGGATATATACATTTATGTTCGTATGTACTATTTTTGTATATATACATAAAAATGCTCAGAATAAAAAGAGAAGTTGATTAGTCCATGTCCGTCTGTCTGTCCGATTTTTTGCGTACACGATAACTCTAGCAAAAGTTGAGATATCTCAACCAAATTCGGTCCGCGGGTTTTTCTTTATCTAGGACAGCAGGGTGTTTAAACTACAAAAATCGGCCAATAACCTGGTCCCTCCCATAAAACGGTAATTTCGAAAAATGCAAAAACTACAATATTTCTTTAATTACAGGAACCAAATTGCTAAAAAAACTGCCATGTTTGTTATTATAGTTTTGGAAAATAGACATGGGGATATATTGCTAACTTTTAACATCAATTTGCTCAAAACATACATTTAGAGCAGACTGAAAACTCTACCACATATTTTTTTAAATTTATACACGCATACATACTATTTCGGTTCTCTAATGGAAAATAAACAAATTTATAAACGTGCTCCTCGTCGTTAAACAATAAAATTAATAAAATATAAAATAGATGAACGTTCAAAGAGCTTAATTTAGTTGAAATGTGTGTGTTCTGCACACTTGTATTCGTTTGAAATCTTATTACATTAAACGAGCAATTCTTGTATATATATATATATATATATATATATATATATATATATATATATAGGGTTCTCGGAAACGGCTCTAACGATTTTGATGAAATTTTGTACACATATAATGTTTTGGATTTTAAGGTTATCTGAATAGGTACTATCTCCGAGAAGACTCGTATAAGGTTGCCACCCATTCGAAATTAGTTATAAATTAATTAAAACATCATAATATGGGTATCAAAAGGAAGATATTTTAAAGATCCCTAATTCAAAAATATTTTTAATTGGGTTGCCACCTATTTTGATTCACATTTATTTAATTTTTTATTTAGAAAAACAGGTAAATATTACTATTCATGGGTACTGTAAACGATGATTTTTATTTAAATAAGAAGTATGTACATAGAGCTGTAATTTATTTGTATGAGTGATATTGTGTAAAAGTAAATTAAATTATATATAAGTAAATGAAATGTTGCTCGAGTATTGTGAAAGCGCGGAAGAATACGTGTGCTCGCCTGAACGGTCTTTCAACAACTAACTCGGTTCTGTTTGTGACAGCTCGGCCTTTCCTGACCTAGTCCTCACAGGACGACTCGTCGCTATCGTCATTCCCATCCAACTCCGGACTCATGGCACACCATGGCTTCAAATGATCCGCTGACATAACGTTGGAGTATCGTCGCTGAGTTACTGTATTATCCGGTAGATCTTCGACGATATATCGGTCATAGTCGAGTACCTTCGATATCATATATGGGCCTTTATATGCAGGATCAAGTTTATGCGATTCGCCTGTTGCTCTTGGGACATGGTCGACCACCACTAGATCGCCAAACTCATATTTCTTTGGAGACTGATGCTTTTTATCGTATCTCTCCTTCCACTTATTACGCTCTGTCATAATTCTTGCTGCTGCATCATCGCGTTTTACATCGATGCCTGACATATCGATGACTTCATCATGTATTGCTTGTACCATACGATTGTACGTTACGTCTCTAGGGTTAAAATAAAAGACTAATTCGTTAGGAGTATAATCTGTTACCTCATTCTTTTGGGAACTCAGACTCCATTGTGTCGTAGTCAGCGTTGTATCCCAATTTTTATTCTCGCCGACGGTGCATTTAAGAGCTTGTAGCAACGTTTTGTTAACACGTTCGGCCTGTCCGTTGGCCCTAGGCGTTCTAACAGCAGTTTTGACGTGTTGTATGCCTCGCGTTTCGAAGAATTCTTGAAATTTCGTGGACTTGAAGGCAGTGCCTCGATCGGACGTGATTCGAATTGGTTGACCAAAGATTGCCATCACTTCTTCTAATGTCTTAATGACTGGTTCGGTTTTGGTATTTCTGGTAGCTTTTAGTACAACGTATTTGCTAAATCCGCATACTATCACAAGTACGTACACAAACCCTGACTTGCTCTTGGGGAACGGCCCCACATGGTCAATATAGACGTGCCTAAATGGAATCGGCAGTACGTCCATAACATGTAGTTGACTTTCCTTATGACCTCCTTTGACTTTGTTGAGCACTTCTCGCACGATGCTATATACGACTTGACGAATAGTCGCATTCGTTGAAACCAAAAATGTTTTGCAGTGCGGTTGTGTGTGTTCTCCAGCGCGAAATGTCCAACGTCGTCGTGGTTCGCCTTTGTAATGCGCCACCTAACAGCTCGAGGTACCACTAACTTGTACTCGTGACCTATTTTACGGAATAGTCGATCGTTGCCTCCTATTTCGTACTCAGCTTTTATTTGCTCAGCTGTTGACTCGTCTACATCTCCCACGCCTTTAAGGATTGCGCATACCTGTCGTAGTTTTGGATCTTGTGTCTGCATGACGTATACCCAATCGTCGGACTTCATTACTTGACGCACTTGTAATACTCGTTCAGCTACTGTGTCGGGCTGAGATGGTAACTCCACCGGTGCCCCGCTTAAACAGTCCACATGCTGCATCTTGCTTCCGGCGCGATGAACACAACCGAAATCTTGCAATCGTAGCCACCACCTGGCTACTCGTGGACGCAACGGTGTCAGATTCTTTGTTGTGGCTACAGCGTTACAGTCGGTTCTCACTAGGAAGTGCGTGCCCAGTAAGAACATACGGAACCTCTCGAGTGACTCGACAATGGCG